ATTAATGGTAAAATCTCGAAAACGAGAGGGAAAAAAAGTTTCAATCCACGCAATGAAATTATCGCGCAACGAAACAACGGAATCGGAGGAGACGAGAGAGCGCAAAGTGTTTCCCACTTTTCGCGGAGAATCTCCCAAACGGATTTATTTATGATTTATTTGATAAGACGGGGAACCGGATTCCGCATTCTTCGCGGGCGAAAATTTCTGGCCTTCGATATCGTTGCGTGTGTCGTAATCAATGTCATCATCGTATGTACATCGTGGATCGTGGACAGAAAGGAGATAGGAGATAGGATCGCATAAGGGCGGAAGGGGCGCGTTCCGAAACACATCCAGCTGGCGCCTCTCGGCGCTATGGCGGCCGTTATAAGCCCGCTACCAAATCAAGCGTGTGTGACACACTAATAATCGGACGTATATATGGTGTCTATACAGTAGCTCCAGGCACACGTGTATATATATATATATATGTATATACATATATATATATATATACATAGAGGTATAGTGTAGAGGTTTACATACGTATCACACACATTCCTGTCAAGTCTTGTCTACGGGCGCCTATGTAGCTCGCACTCACACGTGCGAAACCATATAGACACCGAGCATATAGGTGTATATCTTGTCAGGCGATACGTATACGAGATCAAACACAGGTGAGCACGAGTATACAGGCCAATTAGAACAAAACGGGCGACATTTTCGCTTTATTTTCATTTCCGTTTAATTAAAATCTCTCTCTAGGGATCATCGTATACGTATCCTCCTGTTCCCAAGATCATCTCACTCGTGGATCGAAGGAACGATCAAACGCGAAGAAAAAAGGAATGGCAGGAATGGATAAGGGAAACGTTAGAGAGATTTCGTTACGCCGATGATCGCGGGATGAGGGGGAGAGCGGCACGTGCACGCGTGTCTCAGAGTTACGTATCCGTGCAAACAGAAGCAAGGGATAATGGTTACGAGGAATGGATATATCAGTCGACGCGCGTTGGATCCTAGGACACTGCTATTAGTAGAGCTCGAGGCGCAGGGATACACTGTTGTCACGCGAGTATGCGCTGGTATGCGAGCGAATTCGTACGTGTCAGCCGGTGTGCGTGTCTAATTACGCGTGTGTGAGCGTGCGAGTATATTCCTTGCCTAGAGAGTATCTATTTACGCGTGTGTACTTGTCCGGCGCAAATTGTCGTAGTGGAGCGGCGGGCGGAGGGAGGGAGGGGGAAGGGGCGCGCGTGTGCGCGTGTGGCCGGTGATCGCGTATGTGTGACGAGATGTAGCTACAACCGTGATCATATGGGTTACACATACGTGCCTAAGTACTAATGCTAATCCCAACCATAGATTACGAGACGCGCAGCGACGATCAACCGGAACCGTGCCACGGGAAATTCGTGGACCCATTGGCTTCTGGCTTTTCGTCCACAGCGCGGACAATTCGATATCGTCCCCCCCCCCCTCCTCCTTCGTATTAAATTCCTAAGCTGCAATTTATTTCGCGTCCTCCTAAAAAAAAAAAAAAATAACCGCACGAATCGAGAATCGTGGATAATCACGGGGAGAAAATTTACCGATGTTTCCTCGCCCGTTCGATTCAATTTCGCGTTCCATTAAAAGAATAGTATATAGAGAAGGGAGGAAGGGAAGAGA